GCTTGTGCTCCTTCACACCATCCCTCATATCCGCATTCCTTGCTTCACTCTGAATACCGCCATCCATGTATTTTGCTTTCCGTTCTTCATCCGTTGCATACCGTAACGGCAAAACTCCCTCTGGTAAGAATGAACGTAAATGACGCATTTGATTCTTCAGTGAAGCAGCCACACTCTGCAGCTTGTCTATCTCTAGCAATGCAAAGCGAATTCCGCGGATACGGGGGGTATTAATAGATGTTCTGGCTAAAGTAACATCCACCTTGGCGGTCACACGAAGCTCTGCCGCTATACTGTGCAGCGGGCGACTGACTAAAGTGGAAAAAACAAAATAAACCAGTAAAGTCGCCCCGATTGTACTGACAAATGCACCAATAAGACTAACGACATGAAGGATTTCAAAACGTTCACCATAAAACGGAGGTACCACAACAGCCAAGACCATCGTGGCATTAAGTTCTGACTGTGTCAAACAGACACTAAAGGTCCCGACTGACCCATCATAAGGAAATGTAGTAAAGAAATTTCTCCCACTGCGTACTATCGACATGACTTCATTCATGTTTACATGAAGAAACGCCTCTCGCATTAACGGATCTTTAATGTTCCCTACCTTCGGTGAAGGAACCATGTATTCGCCTGCTTTTCCAATGGTACGGACCCTGCCGTTACCACCTTTACTAAAAACAAATTCATATTCACCTTCTCCACTTTCCCCCTGCCACTTCACATTAAAATTGGTCGCAATCACTGTCATATTACTGTCGTTCCCATCATTCTCAAGCAATGCAACTCGAACCAGACTGATTGGGTCACTTTCTTCCGCAAAGATTTTACCAAGGACCCGTCTAAGGTCAAGTGCGACTTTAAAAAAAGAAACTGTACCGTCCTTCTCAAAAAATGGATACGTGTATACATACCGTGGGCTAAGAAAATTTTCTACGTTCCACATTTGCATCCTGGGTTCATTTCCCGCAATTACATCCTCCTTCCAAGAATCAATCAACTTTTTTGTAGGAGTAAAATTATATATAAGATCTTTAAGTATAAAAGGCTTGCTAAACTTTTTCAACACCAGCGGCGGTTCCACAAGAGTCACATTCTCAGGATCAACAGCAACAAGTGCATTCAATGCACCATCATTTTTCCGTCGCACAGCTGTAGCAAAATAATGCCCATGAAATCCTCTTGCGCAATGTGCAATCTCGTCACGGGGTAAAGACGCCATATAAATAAATGTCAGAAGCTTATAACGATCCATGTTTTGTAATGCAGCACAAAAACGTTGCGACATCTCAAAACCCATTGGTATCACATCATCATTTGGACGTGGTTTTCTCTCGTCTACAACGTACAGGGCAACAAAAATACTTGATAAGAGCGTAGGGACATTAAGTGCACCCTCTAACTGTGAATTGATCTCAAGCCGTGCATGTTCATGAAACTCTTCAACAGATTCTCGGATGATAACAGTTGTCACATAATATGGCGTTAACAGACAGAACAAAGACAAGCACATAAGAACTAGAAAATAAGGTATTAATACCGAAGATAACGGCAATTCTTTAAAACAACAGTAAAAATGTTTCTTTCGTAATTTACTCCGACCTGTTTCCTCTTGCTCTCGTGGAATCGGAGACATTTCATAACCCAAGGTGTTTATACTTTCCAAATGCGGACTACGAGGGGGGACAGATGCCCTACTTGAGTTTTCATGTTGTGAGGGCAACAAACTAATGCCAAGACACTCAAATGATGCTTCATCATTACAACACTCTGTTGTCCTTAAGTTCAATGCCTGAGCAGCTGTCTTCTTATTAGTTTCAGCAACATCCGCCGTCTTTTTAGCACAATCACTGAAAGCAAGTGTCAAATCCGATTGTTTCATACAGAAAGGCTTTGGCCCATGCGTCATACACGTCAATTTTTGGTTCTCTCTCTTAGAATTTCTTCTTTTCACTACGCAGTGCTCTTCCGTGTCGTGCAATTCACCGGTCTCCCGATCTCGTATTCTTGGTGCTGTAATCCCAGAGAGACTACCAATGCTTGTTTGTGGGTCATTTGATATCGGCGGCATGAACACAGACGAATCTCTCTTCTTTGGGCCACCATAAGATTGATGTAAGCTTCCTTCACGATGATAAGGATAATGACATAACAACTCCTTTTCCGTATGCCCCTCTGAAAGCACCGAAGGGAATGCAAATAAATTTGTGTGACGTTCCTTTTCTCTAAAAAGATGATCAGAGGCGGAAAGCGGATCAATATGTCGTGTTTTTGCAGCCGATGCCACTTTATCCTCCGACCGCCGTGGAACCCGCACCGTCGCTGGCATCACGGAACTCGTGTTGTCTACATTGCTTGAGCTCTGCAATGAGACCAGCGTGTCAACCACAATCCGCTGTGTTTCTTGGGTCCAAGATAATGCATCCCGCCCATCGACGTTCTCCCCTGGTATCACCGTACCACCATGATTGGCTGCCACTGAGCTTTCCTCCAGTTGTTTCCGCACATGTTTCTCTCCTCTTTTTTCTTTCCCCATTCGATCTCTCTGCCTCTCTCCCGCTTAAAAAACAAACAAAAACAAAAACAAGCAAAAACAAGATTTGTGTCTCAACTCGTGTAAAATAAAATTTTTTATTTATTTATTGCGGCGGGAGGAGGAGGAGGAGGAGGAAAATGAAACAAATGAAGGCGCAGGGGGTGTGTACGGTGGTGGAATGCGGATACGCCCAGCCAACAAATACGTCTCTATCGGGAAAAACACAGACACAAATTTAATTAATATTAATTACTTAATTTATAATAATAATAATAGGCAGAAGGAAATATAAGCATACAATAAATTTTGGCGAAATACTCAAACTACTTGGTTATTTCTTTTGCCTGGAAAACAGCAGCAAAAAAAAAAAAAAAAAAAACAACAAAAAACAAAAACACACAATCAACACACACACACACACACACACAGAGAAAGAGAAAGAGAAAGAGAAAACAACAACAACAACAACAGGGAATAAGTCCTTTTAATTATTTATACCTACTTGTATTTATAAATATATTTATGTATGTATGTGTGTGGGTGTGTGTGTGTGTATCGGAGTTAGTGATTGTACGGATTGAGTGTATTGCCCTAACTAGAATTATTGCGCCCAGTGTAATAATGTATCTAGATGTATGGGTGTATTTAGATATTCCCGTATGTCACCACCTACCAACCGGCAAAGAGAAAAAAAAAAAAAAAAAAAATACAAATCACGCAGCCAAAAGGAAAATACACAGACACACAGAGAGAAAAAAAAAAAAAAAAAAGGGGATGCACATTTCAAAATTTGAATGCTACAAATTATTTAATTACAAGAGTTTAACCATGCATGTTAAATGTATGCGTATGCCGCCCATGACAGAACAGCAATGCCAATTCGCACACACGCTTTGGAAAGAGTGTGTGAAAACAGCGGACTCAAAACAATACAAGAGTCAAACAGAAAAAAAAAAAAAAAATTGTTGTCTTCCCCGCCACCTTTTTTTCTTTTTCTTTTTTTCCCGTTGTTATTGTTGCTTAGAGAACTCAACGGTGCGTAAAATGATTGGCGTGTGCCTTCAACAATAGGGAGACAGAGAGAGAGAGAAAGAGAAAGAGAGACGCCTAGCCGCCTCTTCCTTTAGAAATCTCCTGCATGATAGCCAACAGCGTCACAGACGAAATCGCCACATCGCTCTTTTCATTACCGTCTGACGTCACCTCACTGGGGAGAAGAAGGAGCATCTGCTGCTGCTGCTGCTGAAGAATATGTAGCGTTAGCCGCCAAAAACCGGGATGCCCACAGCCATGCTGTACACCCTCGCTAGGGCTCTGCTCCCCATGCCTGTAATGACGCTGACGTGCAGCCTCCATGGCATCGAGGAGGCGCTTAAGAAGAAAACAGTCCACCACCACATGACGGGAAAAAAAATGTGATGCGTCGTCCTTCTTGAAAGCATCATCGGCAACCTCCCTACTTCGGGCGGGTTGGGATGTGTGCAGCGTGCAGGTGGGCGGAGTTCCGGCGAGTGAGATGTAGCGGCTGGCGGTATTCCACTGGCCGCCTCGACAAAAAATTTCAATCAACGCCTCAAATGGCACGGAGAGATCGGCGTTCGGCTGCGCATTGCGTATGAAAATATCAAACAGCTTCAATGCCTGTTCCCACGCCACGTTCTGTGCCACCGAATCAGACGCCCCCTCCTCATTCTCTTCTTCTTCTTTTTCTTGCGACCGGACGGCCCCGTCGTCATCCTCCTCGTCCTCGTGAGCGATCTTGTGGTCGTCTTTTGTCTCGGCTGAGGCAAGATGTTTTGGGAGCAGCAGACCGTGCAGCATGGTTGCGTCGGGTGGTGTAAAGTGCTGCCGCACCAATTCATACGTCCTTGAAACGGAGCGCAACACTACCGAGGTTGGCACCTCGTTTGCCGCAACGTGACGCGGAGAACCAATCGTCATCATCTTCTTCATCATCGTCATCTTCTTTGGATCCGAGCCGCCAGTGTGATAAATTTCCCAAAATGTCGACTGCTCTGCAACGATGAGAGTCAACATGTACCGAAGCGGAGGAGAAATAAACTTTGTGTTCTGCATAATGTGGCTCAATGACTGCAAAGATTTCGCGGTGGGTGAAATACCAGCCGTGACGGCCGCACACATGCGGCAGAGCAGTGCGTTGGATAGATGCATCACATGGTGAAGTGACGCCTGCTTTTCCACAAATCGCAGCGCCGCCTCAGCGTTGCCGCGTAGCGCACATAACGTTGCGGGTGTGGGAATTTCCCCATCATCATCATTATCATCATCGTCATTACCATTATTTTGGTGCTTGGAGACTCGAGAGACGAAGCGGTACAACTTCATTGACGCCGCAGAGGTGTGTGCTTCCACGACTGGCATCCCGTCATCGCAAGGCGCCACAATAGCACTAAACAGTAAGCGCCTCACATCTCCTGCATCGCATTGGGGTAGATGTTTTTTTGTCGTAGTGAGCTCTGATAGGAGTTGCTTCGGTACAGTGCAAAGAAGAAGCGCAATGGCTTCCATAACGTCCCCATCGCAACACGGTACACGACTGAACTCGCTCACCCAACGAATAAAGGCGGCAAACATCTGAAGCCCCTCCACACCTTCACTCTTCGTTAGACGATGCCGACGCACGGCGTCAGGCAGACGCAACGCCGCATCTGTGACAAGACGTAACATTAAAATAGAGACAGCAAAGCCCATATCCTCCGGTGCGTGAGATACGGAGGATGCGTGCGTGGCATGACTGCCATTGCCGCGACTTTCGGTTTTCCTGTGTCGGCGATTGCTCAGAGGCGGAAGAAGTGTCAGTGCCTGCGCGTACTGCAGTGCTAAAAGGGGAGAGACCGTTGGAACAGACAAGAGACGGAGCGACTGCTCGATCGAGTAGGTGTTTGGTAAACAACCATCCTGCAGTCGTGCAAAGTACAGCCCCATCACTGCATCACCCATCGCCATGTTGAAAGCCACTGCCCCAGTATTATCCATGTTGTACTTCCCTAAAAGATGTAACATGCGGTGATAGTGCAAATGCTGTAAACGGACCCCAACCTCACGTTTCGCTTGACTCAAACGCAATGCCTGCGCCCAATCTTCCACCGCCTCTAGAGCATGTAAACAACGGGCTTGCTCCATAGCTTCTTCCGCCGGTGAAAGTGTTCTCTGTCGCTGTACTGTGGTTGGCGCAAAACCGGTTATTGCTTCATACTCAGACCGCCATGCAGCTCCTTTCCCATGTATACACGCCATCTTCACCAGTGCCTTGGCATCCTCTGAAAGTGGCACCGTTTGGGACTCGCACCGCAACATCACAAATAGACCTCATGGCCGCTACGCCACCATCTGGCACAAGACTCGCACAACAGAGAAGTATCTCCAGCTGTGTCATGGCTCTCAGCTGCTGTGTGTTTGTGTGGGCAAATAAATGGCGCCGTAAGCTCTCATCCGCAGTGATAAGTCCCAATGCACTGCACCAAAGTCCATTGCATGCATTTTCTAAACTCGTCAATGCAGGGGTTGGATACTTTCGTAACAAAGAAAGTTCCTCAAAAGAGTCTCGCACGGTATCCATGCAGGCATCAAGGACATTGCTGCAACGTTGAGCTGATGGTAAAGCTGTAATGATTTGTTGAACGAGTGACCGCCACGCCTCTAGTGCCCCAGCAGGCGTAACAGACGGTGCGGGTGTTACAGTAAGAGACCGAATCATGCTACAAGCCAAATCCATAAGTCCATCCAGCACGGTGTCCTGCACAGTAGATTGTCTTTTCTTCTGGTGTTGCTGCAATAACAATGCCAGTCCGTCCCCGATGAATTGATTAATTTCATCAAGTTCTCCAAGTACAGCTTGTACCTCCCCTGAGTCCATTTCCGCGGCATTCTGAAGACGATGCATCGTATGCCGCTTCATCGTACATACTGCCTGGCAAAGAAGCAGCATTGCATTCAAAAACGGTGAGGCCTCACCACTTTTAGGATGTGATAAGCTTAGATGAAAAAAAACATTGCGAGCTGCCGGGATCACAACACGGAGGGAACCGCTGGCGGTGATGAGTTTTACAAGCCGTGCTGTATGTGCACCACTGATGTATGTATGCCCAACATATGATCGCGAAGTGGCATACGCCGCCAATGCTAACACCCATGCGTGGCTTTCGGTGCCAATACGAAACAATGAGCGGTCCCGCCACTCCACAATGGGGTGATGAGCATTACTGCCAGTATTCACCGCCGTATCCATAAGTGTGCGACAGTATTTGTAACCCTCCTCAATTGCAGCATTATACGAGGCCGTGCAGCGTAAAAAACTCCACCACTCCATATCCTTATTGTCGCACTCAACAGCTTTTCTCTCAACACCGGAATTCCTCATCGGATGCTGTTCACGCTGTAAAAGGAATTCGCACAATTCCGATGCAACGCCAGAAAACGTCCCTGAAAATATCTTCACAAATAAACACGCCAACTCGCGCTCACGTTGCAGTATGTTTATCAATGATTCCTTCGTATTCGTACCGCCATCATCATCATCATTATTATTATTAAATTGACTAGTGTCATGGGTCACTTTCGCGTGCAGCATGTCACGTACAGCATCAGCAAGAATTTGAATTTCATCACCAGGCTTCCCTGCGTGAACACCGACAATATCCCGGTGAACCCACCGTAGAGTCGCCACAAGTGAGTCTTGGGATTGCATGAGGGCCGTTACTCGCCTTATCCACGTCGCCGCAATCCAAATCCCTGTTCTCCTCGCGCTAAAGCTAATCCCTTTCGTCGAGTTTGCCGCGGTTTCAAAAGCAATCATTCCCTGCTCCAGTAAACCATTGGGAACATGTCGCAAGAGGGATGCCTCTTCAGTGTGATAAACTTCTTCCTCGAGTAACTTCGTCAAAGCACAATTGTTCCCTTCAGAGCAATTTTCCTCCAACTTTTTCGCCCCCGATTCCAACTCATCTTCCGGGTGAATATACGCATCGTAAAAGAGAGCA